GAACCCCCCCCCCCCCACCCCCTCACTACGCGCAAGGGGGATGGTCGCACCTTGTTGTGTTAATTTGGTCAAGCACCCTCGAAGCAGCTACACAGTGCTCACAACCGTCTCTGGAAGTGAGAGCACCAGAAAATAAACTAGTCATACGCAAGAAAGTATGCACACGATGCCGAACACCCTTAGCAGGATGCAGCGCATCCTCGATTTGTTCCGCCGAATNTGTCATCCGTACGCAAGGAAGTAAGCACAAGATGCCGAAAACCCTTAGCAGGATGCAGCGCACCCTTCATGCGACTCGCCGAATGTCTCGCGGCGCTTCGCGCTTGGTGATGTGAGAGCCTGGTCGGGTAACATCCCGGCGAGCTCCGTCCCGGCTTTGTAGGGATGCGAGGTCAATGGTCTAACGACTACGGCATGCACGTCTAAAAGTACCCCCCCCTGCCCCCCCCCACCCTCTTTACTTTTTTTAGTTCACTTCCATCCGCCAGCTGAGCGCGCCAGGCCTCACGAGCGCGTCGAAGCAGCCGGGAGGCATGCTGATGTTGGTTGACAACTCCGTGGTGGGGTCGATCATCGGCAAGGGAGGTCAGACCATCCGCAAGATCTCCCTGGAGAGCGGGTCCTCCATCCAGGTTCAGGGCCGTGATGAGCAGTCCCCCAGCCAACTCGAGCGCCGGGTTACCATCACCTCGGTAAGTTCTTTTTTGTGTTGAGAAAAGTACCAAGTAATCCAAGTTTACACGTGCGTGTTCGATACACAAGAACATGTCCAAGGTGCTTTTTCTTGCAAACTCACGGCGACGTCACCTTTAGACTTTTATTGGGTATGTGGAGAGACAGGGGGGGCTCGTTTGTCTGTGCAAGGGCCCAGATGAACTAGTGACGTGGTTTGAGATCACGTGTAGCCCTGTTTGCCGTTTGGCGATGCGTTTTTATACCCCACCAGGTGTCCTGCTGATGAGTCCTTGGATAACGGGACCCACCATCATGCAGACAAAAATATCGTTTGTGAGGATTGAAAGGCACGCTGTTGCAGCTGGAACTGCGGGTGAGTGCATCCATCCCTTACGTCGCCCACCGTCCTCGCCTCTCGGTTTCGATCGTTCAATGCTTCTTTCAAACAGGACGAGATGCCGGTCCTCATGAAGGCCGCCAACATGATCTGCGCAGTCCTGAGGAACGGCGAACGGCTCGCCGCCGCCGCCCGCGAGGCAGGCGGAGGCGGCCGTGGCGACCGCGGCCCGCCTGGCAGCAACGGCAGCGGTGGCGGTGGCGGAGGCGACCGCAACCGCGGGGGCCCCGCGCCATACAACCCCGCGGGTCTCCCTCAGTCTGCACAGCCGCAGCCTACCGCGGCCCCCGTGAACTACCAGTACCAGCAGGCACCGCCGGTGAGTTGTGTCTGTCGCGTGGGTTGGTGTTTGGTTGGAGGGTATTGAGGCTACCGTTGTGGTGGGCTACAGTGGTTGTGGACGGGGAGGGGGGGATCGGGTGCAGGTCGGGGTGTAAGGGAGGGGCGTTATGAAACTCGTCGTCAGTGTCGTATATATCTATTGCAGCCTTTGAAGTTTTGATGGCGGATGTTGGACGATGCGAACCTTCACGCAGTCACATGTCTGGGCGAGGTTTTGAGGGAACCGTATTGATGCATACGTTGATTCAGTGTCGCACCTTGTGGTACATGACTCCGGGATAACATGCCAGGGTGTGATGGTTTCTGAGTAATCGAAAACGGCTAGTTCGAGCTTCGTTCCCGCTCCAAACTGGAGAATTGACCTCGTGGTTGCGTTGTGGACTGGCCCAGTTCGTGTGTTGGCCCAGACCATGTGGCGTTGAGTCATCCAACCCGGGGAGGCTGGTCGAGATGGCATGTTTGCTAATTGTTTTTTCTCCGATGTTAAGGATGACGGTGGTATTGACCTCTGTGGGATATTGTATGCATATTGAACTCTATTGGAATGGTACACGCAACATTTGTGGCCACCTCCCTCGCGTACGACGTGCCTTTGCCCGCCAATACACACACAGCAACAGCAGAACGTCCAGTACGCCCCAGCGCCGGCCATGCAATCCACCTACCCCGCTCAACAGCAGGGGTTCGTTGCCCTCCAGGCGGCACCAGGGGCTCCTATCCAGCAGGTGCACGAAGTGTTGTTGCAGTTGGAGGCGATGATGAGTTGGAACAATCTCTTTAGACTTATCTATAGATGACAGATTTTTGAAGAGTTGGCGCTGTTGTTTGACCCTTAATTTTCACCTTGGCGATGATTGAGAAAACAATCGCCGCTTCTGGTGCCTACTCTCCGACATTTCAGATTCACGGAAGGTGCAGACTAGCGCCCGTAATGTTGAGAAACGAAGATTATATGACAACCTCAGAAAATTAATCGCACTGTTTGCTTCACTCGGAAGCCAAGTCAACAACGGACGGAACAACATGTGCAACTTTGCCAAAGGTCAGTGTCATCGCACGCCGTTTGACAGCCGGTGAGTTTCCATGTCGGATTCCGTCCAACTTAGTCCACCCCGTTCACACCCTGGAGGTGTGTCTGGAGAGGCATCGTGACTTGCTTTTACTCTTGTCGTATTTGGACAGGTGCTCGTCACCCCTTCTCGCTGACTGGTTTTCGCCCTCCCCCTCCTTCCCTTGTTTTTTCTTGGCGTCTGTGGCGCATACCTTGCTGCTCGAAATATCTTGTCGCGCCGCATCCACCAGGCATACCAGCAGTACCCGGGTCAGCAGGTGCAACCCCAGACCCCGGGACAACAGCAACAGCTCGCCCCGCAAGGCGTTCCGCAGCAGCAGCAGCAGGCGCCCCCCGCCCAGGGCGCCGTGGGTCAGTACGCCCCGCAGCAGCAGCAGCAGCAGCAGCCGCCGCAGGCTCAGCAGGCGCCACAGGCTCAGCAGCAGCAACCGGCTGCTGTGTTTTACCAGCAGGTGTGTGGTGATTACATCTGTTCAACAAGGGTGAAATTTTGTGAAACTATGTTGAAACTACCCTTTCACCAGTTTGTTCGCTATTGTCGTGGGTCCTTAAATGTGTTGTTCATTTTTAGACGGCCTGCTCGAGCTCTTTGTTTGCGGTTGTCAACAATCCTGCCCACCTTTGTTGTAAGCTTGGTTGTGAAATGTCTTTCCCACTTGTATCGTATGCTTCGAGACGCCCTCGGCGCGTGAAAGTACTTCGCACTTGTATTTACGGAGGTGACTCTGGCGTGAAACAAAACCCACCGTCATCTGCACGCCTTGTGCAAGGCAAGGAACGAATCATCATGGTTGGTTTGGTCATGTCTCCCATGGTGTCTGTTGTCACTGCATATGTCAAAAGGTGGGGCCTGGTTGTGGTTGCTCTGAATACACGAGGGGCCTAACTGAATCCGTCTTCCTCCTTGTAACGGTCGTCCCTCTTGGCTGTGTTGTAAATCAGCCTGCGGGTGGCACCCCTTCTCAAGGCGGCCCGCAGGCAATCCAGTATGCGCAGGTCCAGCAGCCGCAGCAACAGCAGCAGCTTGGGCAACCGCAGCAGCCGCAGCAACAACAAGGCCTTATGCAGCAGCAGCAACAGCCGCAGCAGCAGCCGCAGCAGCCGCAGCAGCAGCCGCAGCAGCAGCCGCAGCCGCAACAGCAGCAGCAGCAGCAGCTGCCGGTGCAGCAGCTTCCGCTGCAAACCCAGCAGGGGCAGCAGCAGGGGCAGCAGCCAGTAGCATCAACGTCTGCTGCGGTGGCAACACCCGCGCCGGTGTACGGATGGGTAAGGGGGGGGGGGGAGTTTTGCCACCATACCTTGGAATTTGTCTCGAGGGTTGCCTCCGCCAGGTCCATCGCCCCAGGCCGTTGTTGCAGGATTCCGTGACGTTTGACGAAGTGTAATATCTTTGACGACATACTGCCTTGTGTGTAGTTGCCTGCTTTGGATCGGATGATGTGCCTCAAACTCTCTTGTCGAGCCTGTTATCTACGAGGGAACACGCCGCTGTAACCGCATAAATGACGGTTGGTCACTGCTACGCTTTGCATGAAGTGCTGATGTATTTTCCTCGGACTCTTCGATGAATCTTTTGCGTGGTTTTAAGTAAAAGATAAAATGAGTTGGTTTTCCCTTGTGAGATGCTTTTTCCCGCCTCACTTCGACTTGTGCGTGTGCTCTTCCCCGTTGCTTTTTGCTTTCGACGAATGACTGCGTATTTCCAAACCCAGGTTTACGACCCGGCCACGGGAACTTACACTGCCGCCCCGACGGCTGCTGCCCCAGCCCCTCAAGCGTCGTCTTTCAATGCCCAACCCCAGTACACCCAGCAGCAGCAGCAGCAGCAGCAGCAGCCGCAGCGTTGAACTGGTCTTCCCACAAAGTGAAGTATTGCCTAAAGGTGAGCGGGTAGCGGTACGGACGAGCTTTGAGGGGGTCGGGGTGACAAGTGGTCTCGACGGAAGATCTATTCACCATTCCATTACCACCTCTACACGCGAAAACCCGCACGAATCTGCGTTTAGGCCCACCCGGCGGAATGTTGTTTTGGACGGGCACCACCCGTGTGAATCGCGCAAAATTTGCTGGTCAGCACGCGGCAACGACAGGATGAACCTTAGTGGTGCCTGTTTCTTGCCACGTTATTTGCCAGTCACAGTTCCCCCTGCTTTACCCTGTTCCTCGACACAGCCTGGATATAGCTTGATATGAACCTTAGTGGTGCCTGTTTCTTGCCACGTTATTTGCCAGTCACAGTTCCCCCTGCTTTACCCTGTTCCTCGACACAGCCTGGATATAGCTTGATATGAACCTTAGTGGTGCCTGTTTCTTGCCACGTTATTTGCCAGTCACAGTTCCCCCTGCTTTACCCTGTTCCTCGACACAGCCTGGATATAGCTTGATATTCCACCACGAACTCAACACAGACCAAGCGGTTTATACATCGCCCCAATAGAACTTACAGCACCTTCCTTCCTCTTGCCCCTTCCCTTTTCCATGCTATTAGGGGCATGTTGCACTGCACGTTTTCCGAAGCCTTGTCATGTTGTGTAGCCTGCCGTCGAGCAAACCGTGCGGAACTTGTCAACGCATCTGCCCTTAGTGGCTTGTTTTTCCTCACCACTCGTATTCCAACAGCCCGTAGGTGATCCACAATTCACTCGTCCAGTCGCACGCAGTTGAGTCGTTTTTCAATTGTTTTGTTTGTCTCCACCATCTCGTTTTGTGAACATCACCACCTCGCGATCCCTGGCGGCAACTCACTCCTCCTAACCCGTCGCTACGCATTGCTCCTTTCTCGCGCGGCTTTACCCTCGACTCCTCTCTCGTTATTTACATGTCGGAACACACCTTCACTTCCGGATCGAATTTTCGATTGGAAGATCTACCCACAAAGCCTCCACAGATGGTTGGTTGGGGAAAAAAGGGCACAGACGGAAGCGCACACACCGTAAGGGTCGAACCTAGCATTCGCCTTCAGTCGCGCGCACTCGGATAGGCGCGTCCGCGCGTACGCGTGGTTTTTTCTCCTTCCCCCATTTTTCCGTCAAGACCCTCTACCATCTTCCTTCTTCGTCATGAAAGGCTGGCCGGCCTTAGACATAGTCTTTATCTACAGCGAACGCCGACGAGAGAGACAGACACCGATCGCCCCAAGCAGAGCCCAAGACACCGAACGCTAAGAGCAAAGATTCGTCAACATGGCAAGGGATATCGAGACGCGGTTAAAGAAGGGAAAAAGCGAGGCATGTGCAGTGCTGGTTTCTCCTCCGTGTTAAGCGAGGTTGCCCATCAAGATCTAGATTACTTTTTTCTGTTTTTCGAGATCGGTGTCCCCCGGCCGGATTTTTTTCATCTTCAGGTGCCGAGTCGCGTGCTTAAAGTAGCACGGAGTTAACGTGTAGCGTCAATATTCGTTTTTTGGACCAGAGATAGAGCGGTTTGGTGTACGTGTTGAGGACGCAGGACAGAGACAGCGGACAACCGTCCAGCATTAAGGATCAGGAATACCAGGCGCCCAAGTTGTTGGAAAGGGCGAATGAAAACCTAGTCTCCCCAATGGAATAACGCATATCGCACATGGGCTTCGCCCCGACTCCGTTGGCCAGATGCGATGTTGCACAAAATAAGTGTAGTACCTCGTGGAACTAGTGTAACCGACGTCAAATTTGTGTACATCGTAATATTGGTTATTTGGCACACATTGTTTGCGGTGCACGACAGCACAGAACCGTTCGGCTGTAACCTGCTGTGTGGACGGAGGAAACACGGAAAGAGTCGTTGAAACGCCAGATCGTGGCATCCTTTCTTCCTATCGGTACTTCTGATTCAATCATGTTGGTTCGGGATTTATCACGTACATATACGGGCTTGATGGCCGGGGAGTGGATGTTTTCTTTCGAGCTTACTTATGTAATGGATTGCAGGGAAAGAACGGGGTTCACAGAGTAAAGACAGGTGTCACCGTGTTCAAGCTTGTATCGTTGGAGTGTCGTGTCAAAATACAGCATTCGTCTGCGAACGGAAAGCTTAAGCTCCTACCGCAGCACAAGGACGCTGTCGTGTTCGCGGTGAGCCTCTAAGGGTCCTTGTCAACACGGAGGGCTGAAGGAAATGTCGCCACCACAGGTTACAGACCTGCCGTTGGAGGCACATCGTCTGCACCTTTGGTAGGCGCCAAATTCGGACCAAAAGACGCGATATGGAGCTTGACCGAAGTTACTCCTGTCTCCGGTATCGTGGTGTGTACATCGCTTGCCTGTGCACGCAGCGTTGTGAGTCGAGATAAGTCATACACCGAACCGAACCCATATGTTTACCGTGTCAACCCATGAGCACCTTGCTTTTTGGCTATATGCTGGAAGACTGGAAGACGGATTGAAGAGGATACCTGCCTGTGGTGAGAATCTTGTCCTCTTCTTTTATGCAGGAATTATTTATTTTTGATGCAATCCTCGAACAAGCCTTCCGGCTTACAACGTAACAATGCGTGCAATCTGCCTCGCCGGCTGCAGCACACTTCATCTTGTTGTCACTGAATTCCGGACGAGTATGCCGTACCTGGACGTTACGGAGCATTTCTGAATGGACCATCGCTGCTCTGTGTGCGTTCCTGTCTTGGTGAGAGTTCTGTCCCTTGCGCATTAAAAGTTCAAGCGCTCATCGAAGTGGCACCCTTGACAATGTGTGTCACGTTATCCGCACGACTGACTATTCAGGGCAAGAGTGTAAAACCAACTTGGATTGGTGTTTTGACAATCGCTCTTGTCGAACGCGTTCCGCTGAGGGTCTGGTGTTTGTAGCTGTTTCAAGCCCGTGACCAACAGGCCTTTCCTACCTTCTTCGAGTAAAATGTATGTGCAGATTGTCTGTCTACAAAAGATAAGTTTTTCCTTGGAATGAGGTGAACGACGTGATAGCAGCAGTGCGGTTTTCAAGCATGCGACAGCGGGGTTTGGCGATTGTTCCGTTCATGTAAGTGCGTCACGGGGGTCCGTGCACAACTGTGTGACCCCGCTTCGTATGACGTTATAATACACAACATTGGCAATGGTTTGCCATGAAACTTCTTCCAGGCCTCACAAGCTTTCTATGTACCAGGCCACTGATATTTTCATCGCTTGCAACGAATTGAGATTGAAGCACGTTCGGTTCCAGATTTGGTTGGCCGCTCAAAAACACATGCATGCGACACGCTCCTACAACGTCCAGAACGGTTTTAGTTTTTGTCGCTACAGGGACCAAATGAAAAGCAACGGGGATCTATCAGGTTTGGGACTCATGAAAGGGAGATTGTATGTTGAGGCCTTCGGAGTTTACTCGTGGGGTTATCCCTAAGATCCAGAAACGCCGTGCATGAGACTGGAGCCTCCTCGTTCTACGGTTTGAAGTCGAATATCTTCACCTCGGTTCGAGCCACCGACGGCCATGCCGTTGGGCAAGTCCCGTTACTTGTCCTGCTTGCACTTATTCGAAGCCCCGTTGTTTCGAGAGGATTGCGGCCTACTAAAGTCTTGGGGAATCCTGATTTTTTTTTTTTCCATGTCCCGTGACGCTGGTGCAGACGTGTCCGGTTTCTGTGAACGTAGTCATCCCCACGTACGCGAGTGTCCTGGCTCCGGTGACAAAAGATGCGTCCTTCTTGCACGTTGTTGACCCGACATAGCTACGCCCGGCAGACAGCGACGGCTCTTTTTCGGTGCAACGGTATCGCTTGAACATTAGACTATCCCAACAACAGCGGGCAGCTCCCTGGGACTTACTCTTTATCTTGAACTGCGACCTTGCCATTAGGTACATGAATTCTGCCATGGGCGTGGGCGTGTTTGTTACGATTTCAAACCCTTCGCCGAATTGGGCGTACGCCCCCTCGCTTCAAAAATGCCCATGGGGCAAGATGTTCGACACAACCCTCGACGACCCGAAGTTCTCGAAGATCTCCTCTGAAGGCACCCCAACAACCCTATGCCCAAGTCTTGTGAAGGAAGGTTGGTCGTCGGACGGAACGGTGGCTGGACAAAACACGGTGTACGCCATGTTTGGCACCGTTTACTTCAACATGATTCCTGCTCGGCGTGATGATCAAAGTTTCCTAAATATCAACATGACATGTGAGACCTTAATATCACGAAAGGACAGGACTCAAAGGTATATATGCCGTCGCGATTCGCGGTGGCGTTTTGCAACCGACTTATCTATCGTGCAATGCGTTGCCGCTGCTTTTTTGTTTCGGAAAAGTTAAAGTGAAGCAGACTCTTGTTCAGATTTTCACCTGCGCCCGGCCGTCATCCAGGTGGCGCGACGTCCAATGACCTTTTTTCCACCACATCTGCACCAGCCTTCATCACACTCGCGTCGAGAGATGCATGGCAGAGATGTTGCAATCCATGCCGTCCCAGCTTCCGTCCCAACTGGAACAATGCCGCAGGGATTAATGCCGTCGAAAAAGAGGTACGACACATTTTTCGCGTATCACAAAAGACGCAACCGCACATAAACGCTGCATAGCTCGTTGTTGGTAAACTTGATCGACTTCATAAGTCGCGAGAGAGGGATTGCTGTACCCTTCTCGCGATAAAAATATCTCAGGCAAGAACCGCCGGAGGTGGTCCAATCCCCCCCTCCTTTGTGAACCCGGTTGGGTCGTCTAGCTCGTAGAAGTGGAGGAAAGGGGCCAGAGGGGCAGACGACAGAGTCCAATGATGGGAGACAAAACAATGAATAAATATATACGTACGAGTGTACACCATGCGTGACGCATGCTTTTTGAAGCTTGGAGATGATTAGGTTTCGGATTCTGCATGGCTCAGGTCTTGCACCCACCCGTTCTCTTGCCGCACCCGCTCCACCTCCGCCTACGGTATCC